TGCACAACCACGTGTCAAGATCCATGTTGTCAAGAAGTGACCAAGTGTGTCACCACATGCCAGGATCCCTGCTGCCAGGAGGTCACCAAGTGTGTCACCACGTGTCAGAATCCATGTTATAAGGAGGTCACCAAGTGTGTCACCACGTGTCAGGATCCATGTAATAAGGAGGTCACCACGTGCACAACGACGTGTCAGGATCCATGTTATAAGGAGGTCGCCAAGTGTGTCACCACGTGTCAGGATCCATGTTGTAGGGAGGTCACCACATGCACCACCACGTGCCAAGATCCCTGTTGTAAGGAGGTCACCAAGTGTGCCACCACGTGCCAAGATCCGTGTTGCAAAGAAGTGACCAGGTGCACCACCACGTGTGTGGATCCCTGCTGCCAGGAGGTCACCAAGTGTGTCACCACATGTCAGGATCCCTGTTGTAAGGAGGTCACCAAGTGTGTCACCACGTGCCAAGATCCCTGCTCCAAGGAGGTGACCACATGCACCACAACATGTAAGGAGGTCACCAAGTACACAACCACGTGCCAGGATCCGTGTTGTCGGGAGGTCACCAAATGCGTCACCACGTGCCAAGATCCATGTTGTAAGGAGGTGACCACATGCGCCACCACGTGTGTGGATCCGTGTTGCAAGGAGGTCACCAAGTGTGTCACCACGTGCCAGGATCCATGTTGCAAGGAAGTGACCACATGTACCACGTGTGTGGACCCGTGCTGCCAGGAGATCTCCAAGTGTGTCACCAGGTGTGTGGATCCCTGCTGCCAGGAGGTCACCACGTGTGTCACCACGTGTGTGGACCCGTGTGTCACCACGTGTGTGGACCCGTGTGGCAAGAAGGCCCCCAGGGGCCTGACGCCGTGTTACGAGCCCTGCTGCAAGAAGGTGACCAAGTGGAGCAGCCCGTGGGTGATCCCGTGGTGCAAGAAAGGCGCCAAGTCCAGCGCCAGATGTGGAGACCCCTGCTCCAAGAAGGGGAGCAAGTCCAGCTCCAGATGTGCGGATCCGTGCTACAAGAAGGTGTCCAAGAGCTCCACCCCGTGCCAAGATCCGTGCTGTGTGACCAGGTGTGACCCCAGGTGTGTGGACACGTGTTGTCAGGAGGTCACCAAGTGCAGAACCAGGTATGTGGATCCCTGCTGCAAAGAGGTCACCAAGTGCACCACCAGATGTGTCGATCCATGCTGCAAGGAGGTCACCAAATGCACCACCAGATGTGTCGATCCATGCTGCAAGGAGGTCACCAAGTGTGTCACCACGTGCCAAGATCCCTGTTGTGCGACCAGATGTGCCACCAGATGTGTTGACCCCTGCTGCCAGGGGGTGGCCACGTGTACCACCAGGTGTGTGGATCCCTGCTGCCAGGGGGTGGCCAGGTGCCAAGATCCCTGCTGTGCCACCAGATGTGCCACCAGGTGTGTGGACCCCTGCTGCCAGGGAGTGACCTCGTGCCAAAGTTCTTGTTGCCAGGGAGTGACCACCTGCACCGCGACCTGTCAGGACCCTTGCTGCCAAGGAGTGACCACCTGCCAGGACCCCTGCGGCCAGAGAGTGACCACCTGCACCACCACCTGCCAGGACCCTTGCTGCCAAGGAGTGACCACCTGCCAAAACCCCTGCGGCCAGGGAGTGACCACCTGCACCACCACCTGCCAGGACCCTTGCTGCCAGGGAGTGACCACCTGTCAGGACCCTTGCTGCCAGGGAGTGACCACCTGCACCACGACCTGCCAGGACCCTTGCTGCCAGGGAGTGACCACCTGCCAAAATTCCTGTGGCCAGGGAGTGACCACCTGCACCACCACCTGCCAGGACCCTTGCTGCCAGGGAGTGACCACCTGCCAAAATTCCTGTGGCCAGGGAGTGACCACCTGCACCACCACCTGCCAGGACCCTTGCTGCCAGGGAGTGACCTCATGCCAAGACCCCTGCTGCCAGGGAGTGCCCACCTCGTGCCCAGCCCCGTGCTGTGTCCCCAGCCGTGCCACCTCTCAGTGCCGCAGAGGTGTCCAGGTTGTCACCAGGTGCGCCGACTCCTGTCCCACCACCTGCGTCACCCAGACCTGCCCTGTGTGCGGCCAGCGCTGCTCCGTCTCGGGCTGCCCGAAATTCCGGGCTCGCTGAGGGGCTCCGGGCTGGGATCCCCACGGAGTCTCCGCAGGAAGAGTAAATCCTCGTTTTCCTCACGCTCTGCCCCATTCCTGCTGTTTTTCACCTCAAGAAAGCGCCGTTCCTCACGGGACGTCACCGAGCGATTTTGTGCCCCCGGGATTGTCCCCTGGGAGAAAGAATCTGAAATTCCCCCTCGCACCGGGAGTGTGATGGAGGGATTCCCCTCTTTGTTCTGTTCTTCCTCCTGATCTTTTTCCTTGAAGAAATAAAAGAAACGATCTTGGACTCAGCCTCGCTCATTTCCTTTGCTTCCTTTTAATTCCTTTCCTAAAATCCCGATTTTTTAAATAAAAAAATGTTTGGGAAGTTCTCACTGGGATTGTGGAATGGGCACCCAGGGATCATCAAATCCAACTCCTGGCCCTGCTCAGGACATCCCAAAATCACTGTGTGTCCTTGGGAGCATTGTCCTGGAGCTCTGGTGGGTTCGGGATGGTGACCATTCCTTGGGGAGCATGGTCAGTGCTCCCACACTCTGGTGGGAAGAACTTTTTCCCAAAATCCACCCCAAATTCCCACCCCCTGGCACATCTCCAGCCTTTCCCTCAGTCCTGACATCCCTGAAATTCCAGATCAATGTGTGAAATCCCAGATCAATGCCTGAAATCCCAGATCAATGTGTGAAATCCCAGATCAATGCCTGAAATTGCAGATCAGTGTCTGAAATCCCAGATCAATGTGTGAAATCCCAGATCAATATCTGATATCCCAGATCAATGCCTGAAATTGCAGATCAGTGTCTGAAATCCCAGATCAATGCCTGAAATCCCAAATCAATGTGTGAAATCCCAGATCAATGTCTGAAATCCCAGATCAATGTGTGAAATCCCAGATCAATGTCTGAAATCCCAGATCAATATCTGATATCCCAGATCAACATCTGATAACCCAGATCAATGTCTGAAATTCCAGATCAATGTGTGAAATCCCAGATCAATGCCTGAAATTGCAGATCAGTGTCTGAAATCCCAGATCAATGCCTGAAATCCCAAATCAATGTCTGAAATCCCAGACCAATGTGTGAAATCCCAGATCAACATCTGATAACCCAGATCAATGTGTGATAACCCAGATCAACATCTGATAACCCAGATCAACATCTGATATCCCAGATCAACATCTGAAATCCCAGCTCAGATGGAATTTCCAGCCTGGAAAAACACCTTGAAACCCCCCAAAAAAGATGAATTTTCCAAGCACTCCTCCATCACTCGATCCCAAACCCCCAAC